CAGATACAAAAGAGACACAACACTTAACTCTTTCGTAAACCATACACTTCGTATTTCATACTCCATTCCTGGTATAAAGAGAGAGTTCCATAAGCTTGCTATTTTTTATTGTTATGTACTACATTATATGAGACACAGTAGTTATATATAATATATTATATCATGATTACAGTCAATGAAATTTGTCTAACCCAAGTCAGTGAAATTTTTTTGCTAATTAGCTTTTGAATATATCTAATTTCTATATAAAATAATATCAAATGCAATTGATTTACTGAAAGAATTAAATTTCAAGCTCTTAGCTAAGATTACTGAACTTAGAAAGGAGAATACTAAAATTTCTAAACTTAAAAAGAAGTTTGTAGAGGTCGAAGCTAAGAATATAAAACTAAAACAGGCTATAGAAGAAAATGCAGTACCCAAAATCCGATTTGAAGAGCTAGAAAAGAAATACAAAACAAATATTACTAAGCTTACTGCTGAGAATACCAAATTGAAAAATAGAATCACAAAATTAGAACAAATACAGACTCTAGTTACTATTAGTAACCAAAATACATCTTCTATAAAAGATAAGGAATCTATTATTCCTGATACTACATCTGAACTAATACATAGCTCAACCCAGCCTCAGAACAATAAGTCTAGATCCGAAGAGTCATTGCTTTGCAATAAATATTTATTTGAATCTCCAATAGAGCCTGTGATATCTATAATGTCTTCACAACAAGATATTGTTGATGATGATTTGGCTAGTAGCCTTGAATTTGTTGAAGTGATATATAAAGAAAATATTACATCTACTATTTCTCATGAGTGAAAAAAAGAACAAGGCTTAATTCAGAAAATATCTGCAGATGATAGTCAAGATAGTGCATTCCCATCTACTAAGATTATATAACTAAAATTTTGCTAACCCAAAATTCAAATCAGGTCAGCAAAAATCATGTAAGTGATATAACTATGCTTTCTGTATCAAGAAGTAAAACTTTACTAAATTTGGCTATCTTATATCAGAAAGCTTGTAATGCAAAAAAACAAGCAATAAAGGACAATCAAGATAAAATTTTATGCTAGTATTATTATGTTATTGAGTTCGATAATCAAGTTAAAAACATTATAAAAAAAAGCAAGTTGGTGAGAAAAAAGCAAAAGGACAAATTTATAATTTTATTATTGTATAGCTTGATACTAAATATAATATATTACATAAGCAAACACAAAGAGCTAGAAAAATTTACGGGTTATTTGAAAAAATAGGTTTAGATAAAGTAAAATATATAAAATCATATAGTGCAAATACTATTTCGAAATTTTCTAATTCTCAAATTCAAATGATTATAGATTACTTTACCAAAAAGCCTGATATAGAATATACTGATGAACAGAACAATTCTTCAGATGATCAAAATTCAGAATTACTAGAAGCTTTAGTAAATGCATTTACTAGAACTGAGGTAAGTGAAGTAAGTAATACAAATGCTAATGATAACAAACTACAATCTTTAATTACTGCTTTATCTAATGATAAGCTAGAAAATTTCTCCAATAACAATGAATTCACTAATGATAATAAAGAAGATGAAAGTTTTTGTAGTTTTTCTGATGATGATGATGAAGGTTATTATTATGATTTAAATACTAGTGAAACTTATACAAAATCAAACCGTTCAATCTATGCCTATTAGACACAGAATTCCTTGCTTTGTAGACAATAGATATTTATAAACTATGTATTTATACCAATGTATCCAGTATCTGTGTGCCTTAAATTTTATTGTTACAATAAAGCAAATTTTTTTTATTGCACATTGTATTGACATTTTTGATTCAAATTCACATCTAATACATAAAATCTATTTCGGGTATATTATTGCTAAGCAATGAGGTTTCACCTCTACAAGTATATGATTTAATTTTTTGATAAAAGATGTACTATACCCATCACCTTTACAGAAACTTTAGTTTTTGCAAAATATATTTAAAATATAATAACAATATAATCATAAGTTCTGTTAAGTCAAT